TTGCTCCGAGTTTTGTCGAGTCTGGGTCTCACTCCATTTTTATGGTACTCTCACCAGAAAAAAAATAATAAAAAAATTACGGCCGTAAAACTTAAAAAAAAAAAAAAAAAAAAAAAAAAAAAAAAAAAAAAAAAAANACATAGTGGAGGGAGAAGAGGGGGATGAACTTTAACGGATGGGATATGTATACATTTGCCACCCTTTGATTGGATGGCTGCTGCATTGCTTCCTGCAAACAAATAGATTGGCTCAGGATTTCTTTTTCCTAATTGAATTGATTGACATTCAAATTTAAATTCATACAAGCAGACTTACTAAGTTCTTCCAAATCATGCAAAGACACTTGCCTGGTGTGGGAATAGAGATGTTTGTGCTGACTTTCTGAATTTTGTTTTGCACGTATCCAGTAAGTACAATGAAAAGCAATGAATCACTGGAGTAGCAGGTTGTCAAACTTGACTTTTAGCAGCTCAGCTAGATTACAGCCAACCTACTTTACGCCAATACGACACACACTGTAAATGATGGAGTCCTAACTTAACTTTAGATGTAGTCTGGAAGAAGCAAGATCTCACGTTCTATGATTCATCCTAATTTCAGAGTCTAATATGGAAGAAGCACATTGTCATAATCGACAATTCGATAGCTCCACTCGCCTTTAGGGTTTCTTGAAATGTCCCAAACATGTGTGTCATACGAAAGAAGGGTGGTAACTTTTGTGTGCTGCTGTTGCAAATCCCGGAAGGCCTAGAGGTCGAGGACAAGCATGTAAGATCGAATAATCTATAAGCCCAAACTCATTTTCATAATCTTCCATTTTATACATGAAATTGAAACTCATCATTGCTGACGACTTTGTTCCACGCCCTACCCCCTGCCTATTACCTGTCTCACATACCTTACCACCTAGCCTACTTTTCGCATCCGTTCCACCTAGTTATACTACCTATCCTCCTTTACCTTCGTATCTATCGTCCATCCTACCCACCCTACCTCCTATGCTACCTATTCCACCGCTCCCCCCTTTCTACTATTCCTACCATCTGAGCCAGCTTACCAACTATCCTACATATCCTTCCTTGCTTACCTATTTTGTCTCCCTACCTGTCGCACCCATCTTTCTCCCCTACCATCCTTCTGGCCTTCCAACCTATCCTAACATCCCACCTCCCTCTCCTTCCTAACCCACCTTTCCCCCCTTCCTTCCTATCCTGCCTTCGCTTCCCTATTCTACCCTCCTACTTATCCCACCCATCTTCCCCCCACTGATCCTACCTATCTCACCTTGCCCCCTAACCTGCCATCCTAAACAGCTGCCTACCTATCGTCGTACCCCCTTATCCTTCCTATCCCACCTTCCTATCTATCCTACCATCCTACCCACCTATCCTACCATCGTACCCACCTTTCTACCTCCCGACCTAGCTTACCGCTTACGTTTTTACTTCCCATGTACCATCTCACTGCAGGTGTACTTCTGTACTTGTGTACCTTCCTTGTACAGATTGGATGATGGCGAGACGGCAATAGTTCACGTCTTGTGATGCGCAATTTCTACCCTGACGTTTGCCCACAGGTTCAGATAAAAACCTGGACCTTGCCCTGTCCAAACTCACCCAGCTGCACAGCTTTTTAATAAACTGTGTGCATTTCGCAAGACAGTCGCGGCACCTGGGTTGATGCCTGTTGCTCCGCCATGGCCATGCCAATGCATTTTCTTATTGCGAACTTTATTTCTCACTCACTTAGTCTCTCAGGGGAAAAAGGAAGAGACAGTCCTGATGTCATCATCCCATCGGTAGTATGAGGTATATGCCCCTCTAGGAGAGCTGATGAACGACGAGGTGACGCCGACTGAGGTCCTCCGCTCTGTTGATGCGTTGGCTTTGCCTGAAAATGCCACTCTGACTGATGTGCTCCGCTCTGGTGAGGCTGCACCTTTGCCCGATGTTCTTCCTGATCTCTTTGCTGCTGTCGCTTGCGGAGTTGACGAAGGAGATCCCGCTTCTCTGCCAAAGCTTCTTGTCTCTGCGCATCCAGTTGCTCTTCGCGCTCTTTTGAGCCCATGTAAACTCCTGAAAACAGAACATTTCATCGATCATCAACTCAGTACTCTCTTTCCAAATTCACAGACTTGCATCTGCTGTCAATGTCCCGACCATCTTAAACGGCACTTAAACCACCAGTATATGCCAGCTATTGGCCATGGGCCCCTTTCGGAGGCCACCGGCCGCCGACAGATTTTATTTATGGTGCGGGAGCCTCCAAAATTTTTGGAGAGGCTCAATTGGGTTCTCAACTTGGCTGGGGCCATGTACTGGTGCTTTAAAGAGTTGATTTATCTCTGCCGCAGCTATACACATGACTCACAGCCTTGTATACCTGTCTCTTATACACATCTAGATGTGTATAAGAGACAGGAGTTTGCCCTTAGTAAGGGCATCTCAGCCTCGTGGCCATGTTGTCAAATATAAAAAAAAATAATAATAAAAAAAAAAAATCAAAAGCATGGATTCGATCGTGAAAATGGCTGGATACATTCCTCCAAGTGCCAGTGTAATCAGGGTTACAATCCTCCGAGGAAACACAACTCCAGCAGATCACGGATTCAGATTGTCAAAGTCCAGAAACATGAAAAAATAAAAACGAAAACACGGATTCAACTGTGAAAATGGTTGGATACATTCCTCTAAATTGTGATCAGGGTTACAATCCTATGAGGAAATACAACTAGAACAGATCACGGTTTCGGCCCTGCCTCGTTGGGAGGGGACTCATAACAAACAAACGAGAAAAAAAAAAAAAAAGTTTCAAAATGTGACCGTCTTTGCTGTAAGATGTTTTTGTAGAGGAAGACCGTGAGCACGACCTCCTAGACTACCCTGCCCGACATCATTGCAGTACAAGAAAATATGACCTCTTTCCCTTAAATATATATATATATATATATATTTAATAACAAAAAACTCAGCTCATTTGATTATGCAAACCAAAGGAAGAGGCCGGGAATCCTAAACAAACAACCCAGGGAAAGGAAGAAAATTGTTACTCGGACCATTACCCAGTTGGGGAGTAGGCGGCAGGGTGAAACAAATCCAGAGACAGAAATGGTCAGAACCAGACCGTTGTCCTGCATACTATGTGGTTTTGTGGGTTTTGTTTTCCCATCTTACGTTGCTTCATTACGTAGTACTATTTTGCCTTGCGGTGCTGTGCCGATGTGGTATTCCATTTTGCTCTACTACTTTCATGTTTCCTCATGCTAATATCATTTTATGCCTTGGTATGTTGTTTATTTACTTATATTGGCACTATTCCTGCCATGCTAAGTAATGGCAAACTCAATCATCTTTCCATGCAAGAGCTAAACCACAAGCAAATGCTAAGCTATAAAAAATATTAGTGATGCTTATTTGTATCATGACTATATTGTTCATAGTGCTATGCTATGTTGCATTTTAATATATTTCAAGAGAAGTGAGGAGGGGGTGATTCGGCAAGATAACTGGAGGTGCAGGGGGGTGGGTGGGGGGGTAAGTACAAAACCATAAATGTCGGGGACATAAGATGACCACTATGTTGTACTGTGCCAAAGTATGATGAATTACAAACAAAGGATTATAAATTATGACAGACATGGAAAGCGTGATAAACTATGGCAAAGCATGGTAAAACACGTAAAGCATTTTATCAAGCTAACACAACACATCCCAATAAAACCACCAATACTGCTAACAAGCCACAATTTTTGGAAATGTACAGGTCACTACACGAGCGCCCAAATTCATCCGACTAGAAACATTTCTACTCTATTTTTTCCCACTGCCGATAGCTGGGCCATGTATGGAGGTTTAGTCAGTACAATGCCTCTCTTCTCTATTATTTTCTTGTTTTTTACTTTAGCCAATATTAGTCTGCCAGGCACTAGTAGCTTTATTGGTGAGTTTTTGATTTTAGGAAGCGCTTTTCAAGCTGCGCCCAACGTGGCAACATTGGCAGCCATTGGAATGATTTTAGGAGCAACTTATTCCATTTGGCTCTATAATCGTGTTGTATTTGGAAATTTCAAGCCGTATTTCGTTCATAAGTTCTCCGATTTAAACAGAAGAGAATTTTTCATGTTTTTACCTTTTGTAATTGGAGTTGCAAACAACTTCACCTACCTAGCATCGACAATTCCCAATAAAAGATTACATTTCTGACTTTTGCGAAGCTACACTATGCTGCGCTAGGCACAACAAGACATGGTGGCTGCAGACACACAATCCGTGCAGGCAGACAGGTGTCTGCCCTGCTCAGGTGTGTTCCTTGTCCCCCTTCTTCTTGAGGGCTGCAATTCCCATGCTCTTTCTGCAAGCCACTGACCCTGATATGAGCCTCTGTCTTTTTTCTTAATCAAAATGTACGCGGCCAATTCTATTCGGGGGCCACTAAACTGGGGCGAGGTGCACCTTGTACACACTAAGAGATGGGGTGTGGATCCTCGGCATCTACAGTATCAGTCAGGCTATGAAGTTCAGGCCTGGTGTAGGCTCGGTTTCAGGCTCGGTAGGGTACAAAGTTTCCTCAAATTTCCATGGTGGGCCAGGGTACTCCCACCTTTGCCGGCGGCAATGTTGTGTATTATTGCTTTGACTTAGCGTTGGAGCCGAGGAGGTGAGCTGAACAGTGGGCCTCACCGACGGGCCTATGTAGTTCAGTTGGTACACCCATGATTCCATAACTGTTGAATTGAAATGAATACCTCAGCTCGACTCTTGCGGAACCCTATTCACGCATGAAGAGAGGGCCTCCAGAGATGGAGAGTAGGGGGGGAAATGTGGGCCAGTATCCCACGGAGGGACAACAAAAACCACAATTTGGAAAAAAAAACAAAACAAAAAAACCCAGGAAGGTAAATTATTACGTCCTTTTGGCGGAAATCCATCGATCTCGTCAGTGAGAGAAGGAAGAAAGGACATGGGAGTTGAGTACCAACCGTCGGTCAGATAGTCGTGGGGAATTGAAAATTTGCATGTCTCTGAGCACTCCATCTACCACCCTCCCTCCTTCAGGGTGTTGGGAGGGCAGGTGACACATCCTGCCTCTGCCCCTCGTCTCATTAGGGTGTGCTGAGCAAGGTAGCGGGTAATTTTTTTTGTCTGATTGATTATTTTTCTCTCATCGACCGCTCTTTGCAATAATCGTTGGTGTTGGCCCTTCGAAGGGAGAGAAGCTGAAAATTTGGAAAGAGAGAGAGCTGGGAAGGGGTGTACGTCCGTGGTCATCTCTCTCTCTCTCTCTCTCTCTCTCTCTCCCCTCTCTCTTCGTGGCGCTGCGTCCAGTTCCGGTGCTTGCCTCTCAGGTTGGCCACAGTCCAACGGCGGATGGTTGAGATGCGTGCAACGTGGTGGCTAAGAGGTTGTTGAAGGTGGTGATGATAGACGGGATCGCAATGATTCTCGTGGAAGGAAGTGCAGCTGTGTAGCACGGACCGTTGTGGCGACGACACGTGGCCATCAAGGAAAGGAAGGGAGGGCGTCATATAGACTTGCGCGGTGTCGGACGCTGTGGATCTTGCCTGCTACATCTTCTCTGGTCTTCCTTGATTGGTTTCTCTCTGGATCTGGATCTTTCCTGGGGTACAATTTGCGCGGACGGCGTTTGTGAGTAATAGTTCGACAAGAGGAGGAGGAGGAGGAGGAGGAGGAGAAGATAAAAAGGGGTGCAGCGAAGATGGCCGTCGTTTACCTTGGGTGGTGGAAGGCCATGCTGTATATGTCCCCTTATGTCTTCTCGGCAATTGGGATCGCGCTTGCAGTGGGCGTCTCCGTTCTTGGCGCCGCATGGTACGTCACGTCATCAAGATCCTTTTTCGACGTTGCAAATTACTCCACGTCATGATCCCAATTTGCATATTTGTATGCTTGTTGCTACTGAAATTTCATTATGCGACCCTTCCCTTGTCTGTCCCTCTCTTGCCGGCAAAGAGGACAATATATTACCCTTAAAACAACAACAACGACAACAATAACAATAACATTATTAGTAAGAGTGGGAATGAGGACTAGAAGTCGGGCTACATATCACAGTTAGGATGAGACGAAGCAAAGACGTGAGATTTAGGTGGTAAATGAACCAAGAGCGGGAATGATGACTCGGTCTAATACTGGCAGCTGCGGTTATTATTGTTCTGAGCGGGATGGGTCTATCATATATACCCTCTTTGGCATGTTACTTTGGCGTTCCTGGCCGCAATTTCGGCGTTTGTTAAACCGATATCGTCAGGGCTTACATGATTCCGGCTAGTAGAAAGCTGACGATTGCGGTTAAAAAATGGCCTAAATTGCGGCCAGGAACGTCGAAGTTAAATGCTCAAATGGGTAGAGATACATATATATATATTGTCACACTGGAAATCGTAAAGATACGTGCGATGAACAGGGGGGACGCATTCGCTGCTGCTGATGTTGGCGGTGGCGTGTATGATGGGGATGTCGTTGTTGTTAATGATGATGATGATGATGATGATGATGATGATGAAGACGATGGTGATGATGGTGATGGTAATGATGAGCTCGTAATGACCACGGGGAGAGGAGGAAGCTGAAGGGGAGGATCATAACGGAGTCCGCTAGGTGTGGACGCACTTCTTGTTCTGAAATGAGATGACAAGCATTTGGAGTTGTCCGTGCTACCGGTGCCAGAGCGAGTCTTTTCTTGGGAACGAGCTGACTGCAATTCGAGAGGCATAGTGTGGAAGCTGAGCGGGGATTCAGTGCCAATTTGAGAACCATACATGGGAATGATAGCCATGGGTAAATCGAGCACAATATGAGGTGCTTTCGGTTGCTGGCAAATGATGATGAATGGCAATGACAACGAACACAACAATGAACGACAAGGAATGAACAAATGAGTAGATTGATGAGGAAATTGAGTAGAGTGAAAGAGCAGATGAGTAAATGAGTAGATAGATGAGTGAATGAGTAGAGAGATGAGCAAATTAGTGGATCGATGAGTATAACTGAGTAGATTAGTAATTCAGTGACCGAGTAGATGAAATAACGAGTTGCAAATGAGTACATGAGTGAATGAGTAGAACAGTAGAGACGAGTAGATTATTAGATGGGAGAATTGGTAGATGAGTAGATTAGTTGATGGGCAGATCAGCAGATGAGTAAACTAGTCGAGGGGCGGATTAGTAGATGGGTAGATTAGTAGATGGGTAGATTAGTAGATGACTTGATGAGTAGAGTAGTAGATAGATGAGTAGGTTAGTTGGTGAGTAGATGAGTGTGAATGAGTGAATACTTGAATGAATCATTGAATAAACTGAGCTAACGACTGAAATTTTTATGAATAGTACTAAAAAAGGTGCTAGTGGCAAAGGTACGCGTTGAGGTAATAAAAAACTCAAAAAATGAAGTCCAATGTGCGAAGGTAAAGAAATTGCTGCGAGTGTGAAGCGTCGATGGTGAACTTCTTCGACGCTGTGGTGGTGGTGTTTGCTGCAAAACGAAAGAGAGTGATGGGCGGTTGGCGGGGTTTGCTTGATTACTGTCTGTCTTCGTTGATTGCTGCCGCTGAACTTGGCTGGGTGGTTATTTATAACTTGTTTTTTTTCTTTCTATGACACGAATAGACGAAGGTTTTTTTTGGGCTTATATATATGTATATGAATATGATTATGAATGAATGATGTATCTATTCCATGTGTGATGGGTACGGTTTTCGTCGCAAAGCGAAGTGTAACCTTTCGCTTAATGACGGGAAACGAAATCTGAAGAAACGTGGTAATTATGCCGTCCATTCTTGATCGTCTTCTTGGGATGTGATTGAACGCGTGGTGATGATACATTGATGACAACTGACGCTTAAGTTACGATTTTGCCGTGGGCGTTCGTTCGTTCTTTTCTCCCGCATCAATCAACCAGGGGGATCTTTATCACGGGAAGCAGTCTTGTTGGTGCTGCCATCAAGGTTCCACGAATCACGTCGAAGAATTTGATCAGGTACAGCCCACGCCAGTTTTCCGCATTGCAGAAATTCTGTTCCTGATGTCTATGGTGGAAATCGCTTGTTTATACGTTGAATATCTTGCATTGGTGGTACGGTTATGGTACGCACATGAACAAAGAACGCACACACCCCACACACACACACAAAAAAAAAAAACGTCCAAAACGTCCGCTTTGTGTGTGTATGTTTCTTTGTGTGTGCTTTTGTGCGTGTGTGACCGCGGCTGCTGGCACGGAGTTACCCGGGGTTTCTTTTTCGATCTTTGTCATAATCTCACTACCGATGAAAGATCTTTACAAGATAAATCCCCTTCTTCACAAGTGATAGGTCATGCCTGAAAGCAGCACGCGAAAGTCGAAGAACGGCTTCGATGAAGCAGAAGGTAAGCTTAGGATAACGGACTTGATACGTGAAGCAGGTGCCCTACATAATAAGTGTCATGTAGAGCAATGTCAAGACCAGAATTAGCTAATACGATTCCAGTTAAAGTCCTCCTAATGGTAAACAAGAAGATGGATCCTAACCATATTGATTTAGATGTTTTGAATCAAAGGCAACCAACCGTCAGGTCAGGCGGTCAATAAGACACTGACCCGGAAAGCTTCTCGACCTGGTGGTCGACGTAACAATAATGACATTTGTCGATATGCCACTGATTGTTTACTTGGATCATCATAGATAGTTAGACCGTGCATTCCAAGTGTCTCTGTGTGTGTGTGTGTGTGTGTGTGTGTGTGTGTGTGTGTGTGTGTGNGAGAGAGAGAGAGAGAGAGAGAGAGAGAGAGAGAGAGAGAGAGAGAGAGAGAGAGAGAGAGAGGCAAAGATTATGCGGCAGTGAAGAGTGGAGTTGGGACGGGGAGTGTTCGGTGGGTTTGTAATGGAGGGAGAAAGGGGGGAAAGAAGCGAGAGAAATTGGGAGTGCGTGTGTGGGGTAGAGACGTAGTGGTAAGAGGAGGCTCTGGCGAAAAGATCGTGAGACGAGGTGGAGATAGAAAGCGGTGCGGGGTGGAGATATCAAAAGGGGTAACCAGTAGAGTGGTGAGAGGTGGGTGGGACGAGAGAGAATGATGCTGGGGTGAGTTACAGAGAGTAGTATATATACGAAGGATATGAGAACGGAAAGGGAGGAAGACAGGAGAGAGAAGAAGATTGATACAGAAAAGAGACGAAGGGACAGGGAGAGAAAAGCCGGGGGCGGCAGGGTAGGACGAAGTGGTGGTGGGGGATAAAGAGGGGATAGAGAAGAGAGAGGAAGGGAAAAGCCGGAGAACAGGGCGATGAGGAAGAGGAACTCGAAATGTCCTGAGATAGCGCGAGTCTTGATGGCGGAGTATAAGACGGCGGCCGGAACCTCTGTATAAGCGCGGCAATTTGTTGAAGTCACGCGTGCTCTCTCCGAGTGAGAGGAGTGGGAGGAGGGTGCGTTGGGGTGTCCGCCTCCTTCGTCCCATGGGCTTTTGCGATGTCGGGATACCGAGACTCGAGGGCTTCCTCAAAGGCCACAATGTGTTTCACATTGTGCAATCTTTGGAGGACTTCTCTGAGATGAAAGTATGTAGTGAACACAGCTGTAGTTTATAGGACAAGTATGTCGTGAATAGGCAAGTATGTAGTGAATGGCTGTGATTAGCTGCAAAAAATGTATAGGAGAAGAATAGGCCGGCCGTTGACGCTCAGGGAACCTGCGAGAGGGTCTGTTCTTTTTCCGCTTTGTATCTTGGGTCGAGAACCGCCCGGCACTGCTACCGGTAGCGAGTGAAGACTCCTGGATGATGCAGTAAGATGCTGTTTACATTGGAAGTGGGATGGTTGGATTTTGTCGCTTCCCCTTTCTCGTCATTTTCCTTGGACGGACGACTTATTGGTAAATTACTGGGAAGGTAATCGTGTGAACTGGGGATGGCGAGACGAGTAGGGATGGTGGGAATGTGGAGGGAGTGTGGGCTTAGGGAAATGTCTTCATTCATACTATTACTATTCTTCTATAAAACGAATTCAATCCAATTAGAATAATAATTACAATATTCTATTCTATTACAATATAATAAAAATATAAGTATTATTATATTACATTATTATAAATTACAGGGGAGGAAGTGTGAGAGAAGGGACGGCGAGAGTTGGAAGGTAAGAGTAAAATCGGGGAGGGGAGGAGATTGAAAAGCGGAGGGCGAAGGAAGAAGTGTGGTGGGAGGGGCTTATTTCGGATGTCGGGAAGATTGCGATGGATAGCTCACAATGGCTATTTGGTAGAAAATACCGTAATAGAAAGATATCATGATAAGTGAAATGGCTGGGAGGAATGAGGAGGGCGGGAACGGGGGGTGGGCGTAAGGGATGAGGGAGTTGGAAGGGCGAGAGAAGAGTTAGCGAGAGTTGGGAGGTAGGAGTAGTTTGGGAAAAGTGGGGGGGGGGGGAGGGAGGGGGTTTTGGCGGGCACACGGATGATAGGAATATATTGTGATGGTTGGCACGATGGCTTCTTGATATATTATTGGAAAAATGGTCGTGTTAAGCGAGATGACGGGAGGAGTAGGGGGCACAGAAATGCGTAGTGGCCTTAAGGTATGGAGAAGGCGGAAAGTCGAGAGAAAGGGGGCCAGGAGTTGACAGTTTGGACGAAGTGTAGATTGGGAGGAGGAGAAGAGGAGGAGGAGGATGGTGTGAAGAGGAAGCCTGACGGATGAATGGGGCGAAACTGCCACTCTATCTTCCCGATCTTCGGCTCTGCGTTGGTATGAGAGGAGGCGGCGGGGCCCGAATAGGTGCGCTGCCCACCGGCGGCCCAAATAAATCCGTTCCGCCCGGCAGGCCCGACCCCTCGCAGATTTGACAAGTCAGGGCCGGGCGGGAACAGGGTAGGTAGGCAAAATAGGCTCGGGAAGGATGCCGAGATTGTGGGGGTGGGAGGAGAACGAGAGTTAAATGAACGGGGGGGAGGTGTCAAGTGGAGTGTTCGAATGGTGGCTGTGAAGTGTGAGAGAGGGAAAGGAGATAGAGGGAGGAGATGTGAGGATGAGAGGAGGAGGGCGGGAGGTGGGGGCAAGAGAGAGAGACACAAGGAGGAGCGTGAGAGTGTCAGAAGAGAGCGAGAGTTGATATGGATGGCGTAAGTCGCGGGCGCGGGGTGCGAGGATGACGAGGATGGCTGGGAGTTAGGGTGACGGATGTGAGGCCGTCGGGCCCTTTGTGTAGAGTTAGGGTTTTGGCCAGAGCAGGTGATGGGGCAGACGTGTGTGCTGGGTTTTCGGACCATCGCTAAAGGCTTCCCCCGAATACAACGCACGGTCATTATAGCTGAATTTAGACTGAAAGATAGACCAAATTGACCGTGCGTTGTATTCGGGGGAAGACTGTAGGTGCCATCAATACAACAGGTCGTTCCACAACGTGATTAAGAAGAGAAGAGGTAGCGCTCTGTACACACATGCCAGTCCGGCTGGACCATCCACCAAATGAATGGAATGCAAGTTAATTAAATGGTGCCACTGGATTGGATTGGATTGGATTGGTTTGTCGGGATCGTTACGCTTCGCTTTCTAAGGAGCATGGGGTTGTTGTTTTTATGAAGGTGCTGTCACGACTGCAGTTGCAGTAGCAGGTGACTGAGCGGCAGAGTAGTAGCACGTGCAGGATAGGACAAGGGAGTGGGGAAGAGGGTGCGGGGAAAGGGGAATAGATGATGACAGAACAGCGAGTTGTGAAAAAAAAAGAACATTTTGTGATATACGGCAGTTAGTATCTACAGCTGTGGAGGGGACAGCAATGCCGATTGGTGGTTTGTACATCAAATGGAAGGGAATAGTCCGTCCATTGACTTTGCTCACGCTTGGGTGTGAAACATACGCCCCGTTCGGCGGGGAAGAGGAATGGCGGAGAGAGAGAGAGAGAGAGAGAGAGAGAGAGAGAGATGCTGAATGGTGTACATTGTTTGTTTTTGTGGGCGGCTTGATGATGCAGCATTATCTTTTGTGAAGCTGTCGCCATTTATGGTGTCATTGTGGCGATCATTTTGCAAACAAAGCTTGAGCCCTCTCCCAGGGGTCCTGATGGAAGGTACACCCCTCAGGCAATGAGGGCGGGATACTCTCTTTTTGCGTCGGGCTTGATTGTAGGCCTGGCCAACCTCGTTTGCGGGTGAGTCAAGAATATCACCCACATTTCCCTATCTGAGTGAATAATCAGTTTGCGGGTTTGATTGTATGCCTGCCTGGCAAACCATGTTAACGTGTGTGCTATTGTTCATGTGTGGAGAGAGAAGGGAGCGGGTTGGGGATGCAAAAAACGAGAGGACTTTTGCTCTGCAGAAGGGAGCGGGTTGGGGATGCAAAAAACGAGAGGAGTTTTGCTCTGCTGCATACTTTGTCGCTGCGCTGATTGGCTCGCTCTGTGATAGTTCCTCTTCGTTGCCGTGCTTCCTCCGTGCTCGGGAAAAGTGGGCATACTTTTCAAGTTCCGTCTCCTCTGACCTGCCTGTGCAGAGTAATGACGAAGTTCTGGCTTTGCCGAGTTGGGAGCCCGACTTTTTCATGCAGTGCTCGTTCTGTGTCTGCCATATTCTGTGCCAGGGAACAAGTCACGCAACTCGTTCTGAGGATGTGATGTTTGGCACCACCATTTAATCATCTTATGAAGGGATTAATTATGTGAAGACGTTCGTTGGTTGGATCTTTGCCTGTGTTTAGGAGGGGGCTTCTTGAGCTGCGGATAAGGGATGCATGATTGTGTCCGGGCCGTGGGGCTGGTGGTTGTGCGGCTGGTGGTTGTCTATGTTTGGTTTGGTAGCTGCTATACCAGCGAAGTGTAGTGGTAGTCATTTCAGGGAAGTGTTGCGCAAGCATAGGGTGGTAGTAAATGACCCACGTTCGCGGTGAGAAATTGAAATAAAAAACAAAAACGATGTTTCTCTGGTCGTTGCTGAGCAGTTCACTGCAGCTTGATGGGTAGACCAAGGGTTGATGCAACTCATACCCACAGGGGCCTAGGTTTACGCGAGGGGGTTCACACTCGACTGGCAGCAGGCATGCGTGAGTGTGTTTGTGCCGTGTGACAGGTGGTTGTCATGCTTGGCTTGGCAGCTGTTATGCCTGAAAATAGCTGTGAATTTGCGTTTCGTGCAAACCCATCAGGTTGTAAGTCTGTGGTAACTCTGATGGGTTTGTTGAGAAGTTCACCGTGAGGAGTCGAAAAAGTGAAAAGGTTAGATGCATCTTACAGTGAATTCGTGCTTCGTGCAAGGTATTAGCTCCACACACTTGCTGGGTTGCTTGCCAGCTGGGCAACCTTGTTGTGAAGGCCTTTTCTTGTTGCACGACCATGGGGTTGGAGGAAACCCCTCCCCATGGACGAGACTGTGTTGTGTTATCAGTGAGCCCCCCTATACCGAATCTCGCTTTGCCCTGCGGAATTCCTTTTCCTTTTTTTGAAAAAAAAAGGGCGACAGCCTTGAGCTATAGTCGTGAAACTGACCGTCCTTGACGCGAATAGAACGCCTGGTTATTATAGCCGTATTTGGTGCAAAATTTTCAGTCTAGGTACAGCGAGAATGACTGGGCGTTGTATTCGGGTGAAGACAGTAGGCAAGTCAGGAACTTCGTTCATCTGTTCCATCCGGATTTGAACTCAGGTCTGCATTTCAACAGTTTATTGGTGTACCGACTGAGCGAAGCCCGTGCGGTACCTGCAGAATTCCAATCTGACAACAACCTCTCTTCCATGCACGTGATTGTCAGACGGGAATCTAAAGGAAGAGAAACCGGGGCTGCATTTCAACGCATGCGATGTCCGATATGAATCTAAAGGAAGAGAAAGCAGGTCTGCATCGGTTCCATCTGGAATTGAGCTCAGGTCTGCATTTCAACGCTCGTGATGTCACCTGGGAATCTATGGCCATGCAGCCGTGCTGCAGTGGACTTGCTGGACTGGACGCGTCTCCTGTGCATCATTTGCTTCGGGGGTTAGACTCTCTTGTAGGTGGTGGTTTTGTTTGTCACGCCGTCTGCCGTGTGTATCCAGTGGTGCTATACATGAATGGAACTTGGTCTGGTGGTTCTGTGTAATCTTGCCGTCTTCATGTTGTGGACAGAGCTCTGCTGAACCCGTTAATTGTGTGCTGTTTGTCTGGACAGGTTATGCGTAGGAATCGTCGGTAGCAGCTGTGCACTTTCAGATGCGCAAAACTCCACGTTGTTTGTGAAGATTCTTGTCATTGAGATCTTTGGCAGTGCACTTGGCCTTTTCGGGGTCATTGTCGGAATTATCCTCTCGTCGCAAGCAGTATTCAAGTGAGAGAGGGTGAAAATGCCTGCAGGTGTGAGTTGGGGGAGAAATCAGGAAATCGGGAACAGTGGAAGGTGATCTTGCCGCTCTTAACTGTTGTGTCTTGCTCCCGGATTCCCATGAATGGAATTGGAACATAACTGTCTGCCTTGTGGCAGGCAATGCCATGGGGAAAGGAGCCACACACACACACACACACACACACACACACACACACACACACACACACACACACAGAGAGAGAGAGAGAGAGAGAGAGAGAGAGAGAGAG